CCCTCGCCTCCACCCCCCAACCCTCCCACGACCCTACTCCGCGCGCCCGGCCACGCCTCCGACACTGCGGTGGTGAACTGAGCTCTGACTCCGAAGCATTGACACTGGACTGTGTTTTATGAATAATTCATCGCGGATGAAAACTGTGGCTTTCAAGCAAAGGCGCGGCTGTGCGGCGGGGCGCGGGGCTGCGTCTGGATAACAAGCAACGAGGGGAACGAGGCATTACAAACAAGAGAGGGAAAATACAACGCGAGGTGCGAACGCAATGCAAAGGGCATCACTAATAAAAGCTTACAGTGCATTTTACTGCAAATAACAGCTCTGTCCGAGAATTTTCGCCGTAAGCTACAGTGAGCTAAGCGAATTATGGCTTTCGCTCAGGTTATTCACAGTGAGTTTTCAACAGAGCAGTGGGGCAGAGCCGGGTGGAGCGGTTGTTGGAGGGGAGGGAGAGCAGAGGGTAGAGGTGGCGGAAGAGAGCGGAGCACAAGAGGACGCGGATGCCGGAATCGACCAATTCCGCGCTGTTGATTTCGGCTAGCGTATCTACCTCCCTCCCCCCTCTACTCTTTCCCCCCTCTCTCGCTCACCCCCTCCCCCTTTCCCGGTCGGCAGCGCAGAGAGAATAAATCTAAGTAAGATGGCTGGCTGCGATAGCCCAGTTGATTACCAATGACTCGTCAAATACTGCAAACGTGGCGGCAATCGGACGCATCCGCCCGACCCGTCATGGCATTGGCGGTAAAGGGGAAAGGGGGAGGGGGGAGGCTGCGCAAAGGGCCGCTTGTAAAACGAACGTAAAACTCAAAGCATTTTTCCTCGTGTCCCCCTTTGTGCACGAGGAAAAACGAGGCATGGAAAACGGGAGTAAAATGTGTTTGTTCTATGTCTGGTTCTGGTTATTGGTTTTCTTTCCCTTGTCATCTGATGGCATATTCCAAGCTCAGTAAGGCTGTTTCTGGAAAGCGCTACAAAATCTGTTCTCTAAAAACAACAAAATAAGAGAATAATATGTCGTCTGGATGTCGTGATGTTTAAAGCAGGAGAGGGACAGTATCAGATTCCAAAGCATATTGACGTGACCGGCATATTTTCCGCTCTGCGTCATAAGTCGCTTCGGGCCCCGGTTGCCGGGGATGAGGGGTGGGGGTGGGAGTGCTCCCTCCCCACCCATCTCGGGCGGCACCCTCGCCTTGCCCTTGCCGGCTCCACGGGGAGCGGAGCGGAGCCGTGCGGCGGAGCAGCCGGGCCGTGTTGCGCTGCCGATACCCGCAATGCCGCCGCCGATGCGATCCTCCGGGACGGCAGATGGGGTGAAAACGCACAATAGCTCTCGCTGTGACTAATGGTAGGCACCCCCTACCCGGCGCCGCGGCCGCGCCCGAGGTGGCAGCCTGCTGGCGCTCCCTCGAGGAGGCGGCGAGCTCTCGCGGACGCGGCCTCTCGGCTATCAGTCATCGGCCGCCGCCGCTGCCGCCGCGGGGCTGCGGGGCGCCAAAGAACCCCAAGCCGGGCTCTTTTCTTTTCGATCTCCGCCGGGCAGGTCTGGAGGGGCGGAAGGCGGCTGGAGGAGGGCAGGAGGAAGTTTGGGGAGCAAGACGGGAGTGGGGGTCTAGAGGGTCAGGAGAGGTCTGCCGTCGCCTGCGGTCGCCGGGTTTGTGAGTTTGAGGTTAGGGGTGGCGCTGTGGGGCTGGGGGTGGGCTTGGGGGGTGGAGGACTTGGGGAACACGACCCGAGCCCAGCCGTCTTGATAACGGGGTGCCGCCACGCTTTAAGGAAAAGAAGGTCCCAACTCTCCGCCAGAAATATGGTCCTGGCGAAGGATTCGCGGAATGATTTCAACGACTCAGCAGCAGCCGCTATACTAGGACCCCGCCGCCGGCACCCGGCTGAGCTGCACTCCGACGTCTCCGCATTCATCTTGTCTCCGAAAGACTCTTTTCGCTTTATCCACAAAGTACCAGTGGCAAGTCGTCGCTGCGCGGAGAGTTTTCGCATCGCTCACGGCGCGCGGTGTGTGGTGCCGAGGGGGGGTTGGGACGGGGCGGACGCAGCAGGCGGGCGCGCACCACCCGACCGGTTCAAACGGATAAACATTCAGAAATGCATCAGCGAGGAGTTCTCGGGCTGGACGTCGACCCATCGCGGGCCCAGCTGCAAGCGCGAGGGGTGTTTTAGTATTCAGCCAACACACGCGTATTTCTGGCTGAATTTTACATCCTCGCCGCTGCTTCTGCCAGCGCGGCTCGCGCGCCAGTCGCTTTGAGGAATACTTCTTTTGTGCGAGCTATGTGTGAATGGGCGCGCACTGCAGGAGCCGCGTGCGGCCCGCGCCGAGCCTCGCGAGGGGTTCGTATTTACGAATTCTCTGTACCGTCTGGACCGAGAACGCAGCGGTAGTGGAGCTGGCTGAGTCAATATCCGGCCGGTAGGGGAGGGGGGG